AAGTGAATAATATCGAAATATATTTTAAAGTCCTAACTCTTAACTTTGTCCAGGAAAAGATAATGAACTGAAGACAGATATTTAGGCATGTTTGAGAGATGTAAAGGATCAATATTAACTTCCTCACGTGTATTTAGATAAATCACCCACACGATTCTAGCGAAGAGGCAGCCCTCGCTAAACGCAAGGACTCGATTATGATTACACTCCGGCTTGCCTCATCCGAAATCGGATATTAAAGGGAGAGCGAAGTCAGTGGTAGGTAAACAACAGTTGGTTGGAAACTAGTATTCCTTTTGTTGACGGGGGTACTCATAGCACAACAATTATTTGGACTCTTGAAATTATTGAAGTAACTATTCAGGTCAGGTTTTAATTTCCATCTTCGCAAGCAAACATGTTATTAAGAGTAACCCAAATATGGAACTGGTTAAATTATTATGTGTTCATCGATCTTCATACTACATCATAGCTGGCATTTATGCAAAATCGATGTAGAATTGAATGAACAGATTTTGTGTCATACTATAAAATGACGTTATTAACGCCATACGATGCATTACCATTGGCAATAAAATGCCTATATGATTTCACCGTCAAATTTGAATGCGCTAAAATCCCATGCCTCTGCTTTCCTTCCATAAAAGCCAACGCCCGCCTTAAACAAAAACCCACTTTAAACCTTAAATACCCCCTATCATTAGCATTTCCCCCTTTCTTGATACGAGATGGGTGAATAATTAGCGAAGCGAGCAGAGCGAGTAGCTAGCCGCTCGGTCGGTCGGTCGGTCGGTCGGCTCTCCTCCGCATCAATCATTTACAAGCTCATAAATTGTACGTGCGTAACAGGCGTGATCATACTAATGGCTTGCGAACCAGTCGGTGGGTTTAGATTCGTATGGGGACGGCACCACATATTTAATGGGACAACACTCCCCAAGGGCGGTGAGTTAATATCAGGAGTAGATGAGAGATGGGATAGAAGATGAAGATTTCATTTCGTAATAATCACCTATACACGACAAGTCACACCTACTGAATATGTAATATAATTATGACGCCAAACACGAATACGTTCATGTGGGGATAGATAGGATGGGAGTAAGAAATTAAATGTTTAGAACACGACCAGATGACGACAATAATTTTTAATGTGACAAATAACCTAAACTTTTCAATAAAGAATATGATATGGTGGTTTTTTTTAAGCACTTTGTCATTTTCTTAAAAAAAAACTTCGTTCCGTTTTGACACATAAACCATTTCTCCCTTATTATTAGAGACCATTCATACATTAAAACGTTTCGATAATCTCAGTGAAATGGCATTAGAGAACTACAATTGGTTTTAAATTCATATCAATTCTATATTCATACGAGCAAGATAATAAAATAATTTTCAAGGAAGCGAAAACGTTAGGTCGTTGAAGGTCGTGGTTAATAACATGTGTTTTCCCACAAAATAAAGGCAATATTAATGTTGACTTTCCATTAAATTGATAATTTCAAGAACTAACAAATATTTTTCTGAGCTGCTAAACATTCTATCTAATTGATGAGTTCCTAATTACTAAACCCAATCGACAACGAGCAAGATAGGAAGAGGGATTTAGGTCATTACGAAAATCAAACTGACAGAATCAAAATCTTTACTTCATCCAAGGAAGTAGCGTGTCTACAGCTTAGGGTGGGATTGGAAGTACAGGACAGGTAGGAAATTTTCTAATTTCAAATTGTCTACAACTTCATTTTTATTTCTTATAATTAATTACGGAGATGCAAAAGATAACAAGTGTCTTCCTGTATAGACAAAATGTGTTAAAGACAACCCCTATTATATCTAACTCGAATACAGGGACGGAGAATTTCCTTGACCAGAAATCAATACGTAATTGAGCTGCCAGTGGGGAAAAAGCACGTAGGCTACCCATAATTGTGTTTCAGCTAAGAGCACTCCATAATGACACCCCATTTAGTCACAGTTGGATACGATTTGTTGTAAATTATGACTATAAATAAAAATCACAAAAGATGAAAATTGTTGGTTGTTTATAGCAACAGTGATTTCTTAACGATACCATCCGCTTCCGTTTCTACTTACTCTCAAACAAGGAATATAAGGAATTATGATAGCGGAGAATTCCGTCTATTTGAAAGGGGTTGTCTCGAGTATATTTTTGACATTTTTCTAGGATTTGACTAATTTCCTTCTTAGTTGGGTGATTCGTCTTCATTGATGAAATTGAAGGATAGATAATTGCATTCACCTTGGATGTTCTCAGCGTGTATTTCCCCTAGTTGATTGGCATGAAGAGGTATGACTTCATATCACTATTCAGAGATGGTATAGTGCTCTTAAACCACACAGTCCTAATCATCTGACCCCCCCCCCCCACACACACACACACACACACACACCCATATCGTTCTATTAGCATTGTTAACCCATATTGAAAGTACAATAACATCGAAGGGGTTGGTGGGTGTTTAGAAGACAACCGAGTTAATTAATGAAGATTAGATTATCGGGTTATAGGTGGGCGTGTCTAGCCGCCCGTAATTGCAGACGCTGTGTACTTCATACAGTGATCATATTCAGGGGGTATCCAGAATTCTCTACAAAGGATTGGGGGTTAGTATGTAGATATTCGAAAGGGGGGGGAGTTGGTGCTTTTCTCTGACAATCAACTAAAAAAAAAAGAACGGAACAAAATAAAAAATAAATATTTGTGCCCTTTTGGTCTACAGAGGGGGATACGTTGTTTGTGCCCCTACCCCTTAGTCCATGCATGATGACGTATCCATAGTCTATATTTAAGTATGAGGCTCTTTATGTATTTATTGTAAGTTTTATTCCCTCAGAGTTTCAGTAACACCACGAGAAGGTACATACAGATAAGAAGATCTGACATGACTTGAGAAATGTCATTTAGCGCTGTCAGGTTTGAAGTATGTGGATATTTCCGATAATAGCCTTAACCTCTAGAGACCAGAACTAAGAAAGAAAATATAATTACGAGCAAAACCGCTAAGAAGAAATTGTCTCGGACTCCGTGGGACCCTGATTTCTCTCAGGCAGGAGACTTCCCCTCAATTATTCGTGATATCCTTCGAATATGTTTAAAGACGAAATACGCTTTTTATTCAATAATCATATATTAATCTATCCCTAGCTTGGTATTGTATAACTAAATCTTAGTGAGAAGACCCCCTCCCACCTCCAACACATATTTACGAACAAAATAAATCTACAAAACCCAAACACACTCTCTTGATTTTAATGGACATGAGACAATACAGTTTTTTCTTCATTTTCGACATGTTCAAAGAGGCCCTCGTCTCTAAAAATCCTCACGGATCCCCCCTCCCCCTCTGCACTCTTCTTCTTACATAAACAGCCGTTATTCGGAAGTGCAAGGGTAGATGAATAGCAGATACACCATGGGTGCATCCCTTACTCTACGTAAACATTCGATCCAAAGGTTACTTGATACACCTGCCGATGAGAGGGAAGCCCGCGAATATAAACCAAGGCATGAGGAAACTCAAAATTCATCAGGGATACAGTGATTAGTTTACCCTTTTGCTGTAGAGACGACGACGAGGAGGAGTTTGTGGGTTTATAGAAGCTTGTAAGCAGTACATCAACAAATGTGTCAGACTTGATTTGTACAGAATCAAGCTCATGCCTGCAAGGTAATTCCCTATATGAATATCAGATACACGTTCACGACGCAAGTACGGAGATTCATTATGGGTTAATGGGTTGGCCACTTTCTCCATGATCAGGTCCGTTGAAATGACACTACACTTAAATAAGATTGGCATAAAGAGTATACCCGATTCAGGCAGCTTCGAATACAAATTGTTTACCTTCTGTAACCTTACATTATCATCTCAAGACACGGTAAAGGGTAAAATGTAATCGGTTTAATGATATCTTCTTCAGAACCTTGTTGCCGCAGATAGCATCAAAGAATTCATGAAGAGTCTCTTTGTACCCAGTAGCAAATTTGTCCTGATGCATCCAATACGGGACAAAAGCAAATGTTATAATATCATTGCAGTCTAAAATCCTTTCAAAAAGTTGAATTGGGATTCGCACTTTAATTGTTCAAATTTTCCGAGGTTTCATAGGTTCTTGGTTCTATCTATATGGCTTTGTCTCAATCCTTGCGACATCTGCAAACAGCCCGCAAACTTCTTGTCTAAGATCTTGCCACAAAAAATCTCACCTAACTTTCTTGCATGCATGTTTAATGTATTTACCTTAACGTTTTTTTACTCTCAAAGACCGCGAAGACTAAATATATAAATGGAATGAATTACACCAGCGATGATAAGTACTAAATTTATTGACACAGTAGGTATACAATAAAGTTATTATCCCGAATAGCCTCTGTCCACTCTCAATGACTCGATAGAAAATGGTTTATCCAGGGAGTTCCTGGTTCATCTTAAAAAAGAGATGCAGAGGAAGCCAAGAACATGTCACCGTTGTGTTGAAAAGTACTTAATATCCGTATTTGACGTTTTGTAATAACTCAAAAAGGAAAGGCTTGCTATAAACAATGGATGTGGAGGAAGCCAAGACTCTGTCATTGTGAATTGACAAGTATACTACTGATAAATAGCAAAATGGACTTTCAGATAAATATAGCATCGCGAATAAACACTTTTAGTGAACTAAAGATCACATCACACATTAAGTCCATGCCCCTCTTTTGATATCGCTATAAAATCACTTTCACCTTGAACGTATGTCATGATGACATAGTCAGAGAGTGAAGAATCCTTTCAATTCCTGAGCCTATATATTCAGTAATGCCTCAGTCACACCGTCCAACCGAATACAGACCGACTCCAATCCGACCAAGTTTAAGCCATAGTATGAACTGTAACGTTTTACTCGGTCCGTTGTCGGTCTGTTGTCGGTCTGATGACGGTCTCATCGCCGTGACTAACATAGTCTATCTCAAAAAGACCAAGGTATATACTTACGGGTGCATGTTCCTGCAATACTGTTCCTGACCCATCCTGCGCAACAGCCCAGTCTGTAGGAGCCGTATCCGCAGCGGTGTATCTTTCTCCTCATGGCACTGTAGTATGGAAAGACGTAGACGTTGCCGACCTTTCGAACAGTGGCAGAATTGCGATGTACAGGGACATGACGGTAGTTATGAACACTGAACACGCCCCTAGAAAGAAAGAAAAACGAATGTATAAATTCATTAGTCGATCAGTCAATCAAGTAAAATCAATCAATAAATTGATCAATCAATAAATTGATCAATCAATAAATCCACCAACTATTCAAGTGTTAATATAATCAACGTCTGTCTACAATCAACAAAAATTAAAACATTCAGCTTAAACTTTTAAAGCAAAATAAATGAAGGTATAACAAATCATGGGCACTGAAAGACAAACAAAATTATTTGTCTAGAATATGTATGCATGATTGTGGTATAGGATCTATCTGCATATGTATATTTATATTCAATTGCGATTTCATTTTTTTTACATTTTTTATTTTTTATAAAATCAGATAAAGAACCAGCGAATAACAAGATATGAGAAGGGAATCAAAACAGTAAATACAAAAAAGTGAGCAATGTTTATAGTTTATCAACTTCACAAAAAGACCATTTTCATAAGTTACCCTAAATTTAGAATGAATAAGGCAAGATAAAATGAAATGCCAAGTTTTTCCCGGCCTCTCATAACTTGTATCAATCCATTTAAAGGCATTTAATAGCCCAAGTTGTCAACATATTTCAACAAATATTTATAAATAACAATCTTATCTCAAAGAGTCAGATCTATTTACGCATAGCAAGGAGTTGAACCATGCCCACCACAATGGATAATAATGCTTATTGCAGTGTGACGTGACCTAGCTAGCTACTCGGTCACTCTCAGTTTCTCTCGGCTATGAAACCATTCCAACTTTTTTTGTTATTAATAGTACCTTGCAAGCCATGCTTAACTTATCAAGTCCATGGTCACAAGTCAAGCTCGTTAGTATATTATTGAATTGTATTAAGCTATGATTAGCTTCATTGAAGAGTAGTACGGTCAACGAAAGTTCAATTGCTTCCACCGTGTATGTTTGTTTCTTCTCCAGTATGGGGAAGAAAGTAAAACATATTCAAGTCTTAAATAGGTTTTTACCCGATTATCAGAGTTATGCATTTTCATTATAGGATTGCTCTTGGTAAAGAATTTTTATTTTGTGAAGCTCGAGAAAAGATGATGCAAAGTGATGAAATTCTATTATACGACTTCATTTTTTAAAAAAATGCATAAATTATTAGTGCATGTACTATACACCTGACAAGAGAGTACATTCAAATGATCAGAAAAACAATTATAATGCTAAATGCCATCACAAAGTTAATCATACAAATTGTATTTTTACATCCACTACTTCTACATCTTCATCTGATAGCTTAGGCGCCACGCGTAGTCTTAATGCATGCATAAAATGCAAACACGATCTGCTTCCATTCAAATAATATAAAAGGACCTTTGATTTTCCACAGAATACTGTTCATGGGCATATTCGTTGAAATGTCTTGTCTTTTACAAACTTTTCCTTGTTAACTTTCTTCTAATCGATTCAGCACAAACCGAATGTTGCATATTAAAAGATAAAAACCCGTTATTCTTTTTCCTAGGAGGGGAAACCTCATGCTGTGGTACTCAGTGATAGATGAGAACAATTGATGTGACAGAAATATGTTTTTATACGATTCAGCAAACTACCAAACTGGTCTTGAACCCAACCTAATAATTGTTACCATAAACACACAGCATGTTAGCTGGGGATCGAAGCTGCGGGATCGGGCGTTATTTTTTGCTAAAATGGGGTCATTTAACCACCCCCATACCGGGTAAAGAGCAACCTCACCACCGGGCTTCGCCACCAGTACGAACACAACAAGAGACAACATGCTGGTATGACGGAATACCTGACATTCACTGTCTACATGTGTTTGTCTATAATCGTTAAACATGACATCTATGTTTGAAGCATGAATGGTTTTATGTTATATTGTGATAAATGATCATTGCCCGGAAGCATGCCTTTGGGGTTCTTGAAAAACCCGCCCTATTTCAAACTCGATTCTTTTATTGAATCATTTCGCAACATTACCCATCGATATGCATGTGATTGGAACAGATAGTTCTTTTAATGATCGCAGTAACAAATGAAATTATATCATTAGCATACCACGTCTTCTAATGATAACTCATCCTTGAGAGCTATATACAAAACCGTTTATGAATGTTGCGTGTACAAAGAGAAATGCTAAAATGGGATATCTCCGCCCTTCGTAACATTCTGCCTCATTATCACAGTGCGCAAAAAAAGATAAATTAAATGTCAAATGTCCTATATGGCCTCATTAGTTGACACAAACTGACGACTCAACTCAACCAAAACAAAAATCAATAGGACGAATTGAAAGAAAAGTGACATGTCTGAAAGTTAAGGGTGTAATGGAATTATGGATTTTGGAAAAGGTAATATCAAATTAGTATTCTTCGTTATGTTGGATCTCAATACTAAATCACGAAGAAACCACTTTTAATAACGTAACCATTTCAATCTTACCTACTTATACTCTTTATCATCTGTATCATCTATCGCGTGAGTAAAGAATTTAGAATCAATCCGTAAAGAACCGACAGGATATTTATTTTGTACAGGAAAAGTCTCACTATCTTATGAATAGATGATTAATGACTCACTCGCGTGTGTGTATTGTACGTGTAATAAATGAGAGGATGAAAGGTCGAGGTTTATCGATCAGGAACAGAACAAAATATTTCGAAAGATAATGATGACAAATCACAAAGTCAAAGTATTTCTTTTCACCGACATTTTGTAGTCGTACACAATTTGACAATATATATGATACATTTGTCAACTGTATGATAGATGCCAAGTATATTCTATAAATCTAAGGGTGAATCATAAAGGTGAATGATCGGAGATAAGGTCAGTGGTATTTTTTTATTGAGGTTAAACCAGCTGATTTTTGACAGTATCAAAGCTGGATAAAATGTATCAAAGGAGACACCACAGAGAGAAAATCAGGTCACATAAACCTCACCCGTGCGTTCTTTATTGCCAACCTCTGCAGGTCAAACATTGGCGACATATATTCAACTCTAATCTTTTATATCACATCTTTAAATATTGTCTGCAAGGAAAACAAAAGGTTTACATATCTGAAAATATAAAATAGAAAGAATGTCTGTTACAAGATTTCGATATTTAAGAAAACAAGCCATGTGGGATTTGGCTAAAGAATATATAGAATGTTCTCACTTTGTATGAATGGAAACCGCTAGATAATAAAATATTCTTTTGCATTAAGAGCGGTTTTTATAGGTAATCCATCAGGCTTAATTTTTTAGTCAGGACAATAGAAAATATTGGAGCGGTAAATAAAAATGTGGATACATGCACTCTTTGTTTCTTTCTTGCTGTCTTCTATTCACTGCATGTTATGGCCTGTGGGTGGGAAACAAACGGAGAATATTATTCCCAATAATCTATTGAAAAGGGCACGGGGTTGGGATTGATGATAAATCATTGGATTTGCTTTGTGGCGCTTATCCGGGGCTGATCGTACTCAATAAAGCGATGGATTGCAGGGAAGCTATGGTTTGAACGATGTGCATTGTCAGGACGCTTTCTCACACTCAATACCATATAGCATTCACGTTCCATCTCAATATATAATAGTCATTTAATGACTTGTGTGAAGGCAACTTCAAGGGTTAGAATTCAGTCCTGTATATTCAACAAAAATGTGTAGATGATAGAAAGGAAAGTAAATTATTTGCCAATATGCCTATAAATCAGGTATTTGTTGATGGAAACATCATGGGGATAACAGATCCCTTTAACATGTCTAGCGCCACCTTAATCATGTGATTTTCTAAATGGACAAGTACTGATAAGATCTCAGCTCATGATCCTGAATAATGCATGGTCGCCACAGGCATCATGCACCGTATCTCCCTTCCTGTCATTCATCTTTGTAAATGTAACACTTGCACAAAAATACATGTTAACCCCCCCCCCCCTCTCCCCCCTCTCCCCCCCCCCCCTCTCTCTCTCTCTCTCTCTCTCTCTCTCTCTCTCTCTCTCTCTCTCTCTCTCTTTCCTTTCTTTGAGGTTCTCCGTGTCTCTTTCTCTCTCTTTCTGCTTCGACATCATAATCATATTATATCTTGATGAGACGCAGGATATTTAGATGAGAGGATATTCCAATCTTGTTGATCTCTTCTCTCTCTCTCTCTCTCTCTCTCTCTCTCTCTCTCTCTCTCTCTCTCTCACTCTCTTTCTCTGGACCTCTAGCCCTCTCCTTCCCGCTTTATAAATGTATATTAATACATCTCCTCTCCCCCTCTCTCTATCTCTCTCTCTCTCTCTCTTTACCTCGCACTCATCGGCATTCGGTATTTGGATATTTGATAATCATCGTTCAATTAACGTCGATTTCATTCAAGGCCATATCGGGAAAACAGGAACCATATTATAGGAACATTTTGATTACGTCCATTTCACCCCGTGTGCAATTAATCACAGCAGCTAAAGGTCTCGCTCCTCAATACTACGAACACAATGCAGCCATGATGTGATATAAAATATACATCCAAAACTATATAATAGTATGCATATAGAAATATAGACCAGAGAAATACAAATCACTGCGTTGAATAACATGCCATTACATCTTGAATAGCCCACGCCTAGTTCTAGAACAATTACCCCCCAGAAAATAACCCCTCTCCCTCCCCCAAGGACAACCACCCCGAGGACAATTACCCTCCCCCTTAGGTCACTCATCCCCCCCCCCGCCCCCCCCCCCCCCCCCCCTCACGGTCAACATAGCACGACTACTGTTCTCTTCTGAACATGACTGTATTTCGAGTCAGTCCGATCACGAAATCGACCAGGAGTAGTGTACTGCTTACCAGTCATATCATGCCTTAATCAATCGTCACCGTGAACGAGACAGAAGTCCCAAAGGCAAATGTTTCATAATTATGGATTAGCCTCTGACATAAGGATGGGTAACATTGATAGATGTGTCCGAGCTCACGGAACAAGACTAATAACTTCTTGTGACTTCTTGTCTTAATCATGAGCACCATTGGTCTGCCTATGGTAGGT